GGCAGCTCATGGTCAAGGTTAAATACACATGTGAAATATGAAAGCCACAGCACCAACCGTTCAAAGGTTATGGCAAGTTTTAAGTTCATTAAAAGTAGTTCAAAGGCCAAGATGAAGGTCAGAAGTTAAAAAAAAATGTTGGTACCCAAAGAAAGGTCTTCGCAAATAGAATACACATGAAAGATCTTCTCACAACGAAATACACGTGTGAAATATGAAAGTCCTATCACCAACTGTTCAAAAGTAATGACCAAGGTTGAAGTCTTTGCCGATGAACAGACGGACAGACCAAACCTATATTCCCCCGAATCTCCGATAAGGGGGCTGGGGGGTTAAATATGACTTTTGGGAATTTTCAGCACTCATTGAATCTACACAAGATTGATTCAATATTAATGAAACTATGGTGGCATATTTCTGCCCCCTACATGCAAGATAAATTATGTTAACATGCAACATAATTATGTAGACATGTGACTTATTTATGTCAACATGCAAATAATTATGATGACATGCAAGTTACCAATCTCTTTAGAGAATCTAATTTTAATAATGGTAAAATTACTTACTAACGCCATTATATGACATCATACAAGCAAGATACAACAAGATTAGGTTGACATTCAACATATTTATGTTAACATGCTAGATAATCTTGTAGACATGCTGGATAATTATGTAGACATGCAACTTATGTCAAAATGCAAGATAATTAATGTAGACATGCAACTTATTCATGTCAACATGCAAGATAATTATGTTAACATGCGAATTAATTATGTCAAAATGCGAGGTGTGTATGTTAACATGCAACTTATTATCTTGCATGTTTACATAATAAGTTGCATGTTAACATACATATCTCGCATGTATTTACGCATGTTGATATAAATACCTTGCATGTTAAAATATAACTTGCATGTTGACATAAATAAGTCGCATGTTAACATAAATAAGTCGCATGTTATCATAATTATCTTGCATGTTGACATAAATAAGTCACATGTCTACATATAATTATGTTGCATGTTAACATAAATAAATTGCATGTTGACATAAATATCTTGCATGTTAACATATCAATTATCTTGCATGTTAAAATAAATAAGTCGCATGTCAACATAATTCTGTGCAGCTTCATTGTATGATGTCGTATACTGGCATTAGTAAGTAATTTTACCAACAATAAAAATTAGATTCTCAAAAAAGATTGATAACTTGCATGTCAACAGAATTATTTTGCATGTTGACATAATTATCTTGCATGACATACTTTTTTTGTATGTTAACATAATTTATCTTGCATGTAGGGGGCAGAAATATGCCACCATATGAAACACAAGTACCAAGAACTAATTTTGAACAGATTTTTTAAAAAGTTTTCTGATTATTTATTATGTAGGGTGAGTTAACCATGCATCGGACACATATCTTGCTTCGGACAACTTTAAGCAATAAACTTTCATTGAACCTGAGTTTCCCCGTGTTTTTACATGTTTCTGTCTTAAAGATGAAGAATTAAACTTTTTAATGATGTCAATTTTTATTTTTATGTTGTGATAAAAATACCACAAGAATGGCCTTGAAATTACGTCATATTCTGCATCATCGAAGGGGAGTAACCAGAATTTTACCATTTTGCAATTTTTAGAGTTGTCGTTCTTTTAAATAGACGTCAACGGAACGGGTCGGACCTTGGTAAAATTTGCCAATGATTGATAATATTACAGAAATTTTCAAAAATGTTACTTCAATGTTTGTATAATATATTTTAGAGTTGTTTTTAATTAGTATGTTTATTTCACCGTACATCGGACACAAATTAACCATGCATCGGACACTTTCTGATGCACGGGTAATCACTTCCATTTTCATGAAAAACCCAAATGACAGCTGTTTTTTACGGAAATAGAAAAAAGAAACTCTAAATTTTCGGTGAAAATACAAATTATTGATATATGACGACTAGAAGTGGACTCAATTTATTTCTTTAAACTAGATGATTATAACCCACGAGACAAAGGCGCGAGTTGCCATGTTACTAGCATTGTAAAGCCTTTCTAAGGCGATGTGATGCAACTAAAATCTCTCCATATTTGTGGATCGAAATAGTCATTCAAATTTAATTAGAAGGTTAATTTTTAAATAAAAGAGAAAAATGTTTCGATATCACTAATTTTAAAGCACCGAGATCAAGGTATGATATTTTTCTGGTTTAAATATCATATGTCCGATGCATGGTGAATATTGTCCGATCCATGGTGAATTCTAACTTATTTCGAAAAAAAATCGGTTTTTAATGATATTTTCTCAATAAATAGGACACGATTGTGTCAAAAATTTATATTTTAACCACATACTACATGTTAAGTTCTTTTGATAATATTCGGTCGGTAGCGATATCGCTAGAACTTGTTGAAGTGCAAGGGTGTCCGATGCATGGTGAATTCACCCTATATAAAATTTTAGATCTACACATGGTATTGTTTGTAACATTTTCTGGACGCCTGAGTTGACCTACGTGTAACTGACACCAATGCTTAAAAACAGGATTTAACCAATGAGATGTATAAACATTTGTACAAATACCCACTTAATAGCATGCAGCTATTACGGAAATGGCAGATCCTGGACACTCTTTCTTCAGAATAATTCTCATTTGTCCGACTTTGAGGCATTCGGTGAAAAATTTGAGATGAAAAACATTATAATTAAATTTTCCGAGGAAAAATTATTAAATACATTCTTCACTTATTAAATATAAGTAATATGGCTCTAACTCAGAAGCAGAGGTGAATATTAAAACATATCTTTGTGAAAGGCTGGAGGTTGGGGGGGGGGGGGGGCAACCAGCATCTAAAAGAAATTTTAATTTACTATAGCAAAATACTATACTCAGAAAAAGAAAAAAGGGGGGTCGGCCCCCTGACCCCCGTGTTCTACGGGCCTCACTGATGTCCCCGTATGGCAGCTCATGGTCAAGGTTAAAGTTTTTCAATAGTAGTTAAAAAATCCAAGTTCAAAGTCTTATGGTCAAAAATTCTTTGTCTCCAAGGAAAGCTCTTGTCACAAGAAATACACATGTGAAATATGAAAGCCACAGCACCAACCGTTCTAAGGTTATGGCAAAGTTTAAGTTCATTAAAAGTAGTTTAAAGGCCAAGGTGAAGGTCAGAAGTTAAAAAAAATGTTGGTACCCAAAGAAAGGTCTTCTCAATAGGAATACACATGAAAGATCTTCTTACAGCGAAATACACATGTGAAATATGAAAGTCCTATCACCAACTGTTCAAAGGAAATGACCAAGGTTGAAGTCTTTGCCGATGAACAGACGGAGAGACTAAAACTACATTGTATATGCCACCGAATCTCCGATTACGGGGAGGTGGGGGCAAAAAATGAATTTAAGGAATGTTCAGCCCTCATCAAATTTACACTACATAAGATTGATTCCATATCAATAAAACATAAGTACCAAGAGCTAATTTTGAACAGATTACAAAAAAAGTTTCCCGATTAGTTTTTATGCATATAAAATTTTAGACCTATACATGGCAGTGTTTGTAACATTACCAGTGAGATGTATATACATTTGTAGAAATATCTACTTAAATGCATGCAACTATTACGGAAAATGGCAGATCCTGGACACACTCTTACATCAGAATAATTCTCAAATGTCTGTCCGACTTTGAGGCACTCGGTGGTATATTTGAAATAAGAAACATTATAATTAAATTTTCCGAGTAAAAATTATTAAATACATTCTTCACTTTATGATATAAAGAATATGGTTTTAACACATAGGCAGAGGTGAATATTTAAACATATCTTTGTGAATTATTATGTTCAATACTGTTGTATTTTCTTTTTTTTTATCCCCACCCAAAAAAAAAAAATAAAATAAAAATAAAAACCAAACAACGACAACAACAAAAAAGCACAAAAACAAAACAACCCCCATCCCACCCCCAAAAAACAACGACAACAAGAAAACACACACACACACCCTCACACACACACACAAAAGAGGGATAGTTCCATAGCACCTGATCCCACCTCTGATGTTTTTGCTCTGCTCCCGATTTGTATTGTTTTAATGGACTTTGAGCTTGAATACTGTTAGTTATCTCTATGTTTCATGTTCTTATTATAAACGTGCTAAACTTTTTAAAGGAATATTGTCTATAATTTGACACATTTCTTACTGTGTGGTTAGGATTTTGAAAGATATGGTTAATGTTTTAAAAAATGAATTTTTCAAATTTTTCGTTGTCTTAAACACACGCAGTAAAATATCTTGCACGTAAAAAAAATGAAATTAATATCAAAAGACCTTGCACAATATAAGGCACCCTTCCAACGCCTGAGTGAAAATTACATAGCAACGTACTTTTATGCCACGATAAATGTGTTTTAAAAGATTGTATTGATTCTAGAATTTAATTCTATAAACGGTGTTCTACTCAAGCTCAAGCATTGTTTTGAGTCAATCTATATTAGTTCTTGATGTTCCAAAACCATCTTCAAATTATAACTTAATTTCCCATTTTTTATTTGAAAAGGAGATTTAAATTTCTATAAATATCAAGAGAATCGTAGCTTTGATTTGTGTGCTTAGTGTCTTTTTCAATCGAAATAATACGCAAAGGACCAAATTACTTTTACCTCAAAGAAAATTAGTACCCTAAATATTTGAAATTATTGTCAGTATCTTCATGTGAACTGAAACTTATTTTGGACAATTGAAAAAGGCTGAAGATAAAGAACAGTGATTGATCTCAAAAAACTTCATACAGGACAAATTTGTGTACAGGGCATAAACACGGACCCCTGGAAATTCCAGGGTGGGGTCAGGTGCTTAGGAGGAGCTATCTAAAACCGTAGAATTCATGGTATATGGGTGTTAAATACATGTTTAATTATATAAATTTATTTGCCCGTGACAGCTGTTAAGGATTATTTACTTAAATTAATTTGCATTTGTTTAACTGTTGTAGATATGAAAGAGGATTCCACAAAAGGAACCCAACACGCACTCTTTATATGTCATCGAAATCGAACTGCATTATTTGTTGGTTCCGTTCTGTTTGTCGCTTTCAGCTGCGTCTTCATGATTTCAAATTACCTCTCCCCTCCCTACCACGTAGTACCAACAGGATCTCAACAATATGTGTATTTTTTCGATCAGAAACACTGGGTTAATCGGACACAGAAGCGCATTTTATTGTGGACTAGATATTTCTATGATGGAATGTGGGAAAGAACAGCACGGAATGCGTTGGATAAAAGTGTTTGTCCTTTCCAGTGTACATTAACTTCTGACAAATCCGCCATCAAAGAAACAGATGCTGTAGTTTTTCACTTATTAGATCTATATTTTTGGGAAACTCCACCAAAGTATCGAGAACCTCATCAGGTGTGGGTTTTACACAATGCCGAACCCCCGCCACATCAGTTTTACACCGGAAGTATTCTGACTTACTCTCGTTTTGCTTTTAACTGGACATTTTCATATAGAAGAGATTCTACGATAGCAGCTTCGTATGGGCGAGCTTTGCGACGAACAAAGAAAGAATCTGTTGAACTAAAGCGCAAGTCTCGTACAGATCACGCAAAAGGAAAAAGCAAAATGACCTATGCCGTGATAAGTAATTGTGTCGATGATGCTGGGCGGTTTGCATATGTGAAGAAACTAAGAAAATACACTCCGATTGATTTGTATGGTAGATGTGGAAATCTTACTTGCCCAAGAAACGCAACTTGTGAAGCTTTACTCAAACCCTACAGATTTGCAATAGCATTTGAAAACAGTAATTGTAAAGGATACGTTTCCGAAAAATTCTGGAATGCTCTTCGAAGAGAAAGTATACCTTTGGTTAACTGGATTCCAGAACAAGTTCCCATCGATGCTCCTCCTAAATCTTATATTAATGTTCATGATTTTCCAAACATGGAAGACTTAGCAAAACATTTAGATATATTAGCTTCGAATGACACAGAGTATAATAGTTACTTTGAATGGCGGAATGATTACGTAATTGAAGATGGCTTCTTTCAAGGGTTTTGTACACTTTGCAAAGCTTTACACAATGAATCAATTCCAGCTCAAGTTGTGGATTACCGAAGTTGGTTATCGAATGACACTTGTCAGGCATGGACGGTAGGTATCTACAAGACTAAATGGAAAGGAGCTAGCTTAATTAAAGCTAAATATGGCGTATCTGAGCTAAAAAAAATTAATACGAAATTATATGTAAATATACGTGATATATGTTATATACGTTAAAATCAAAATTTTCACCTATTTTGAACTGGGATAACCTCACGTTTCTATTGTTAAATTGACTTTAAACTTTGGTGTAATTGTGATGAATATTAATAAGATCCGCCACGTGCATAACTGCGGGAAAATACAGCATTAAAGCCATGGTGGAAGAGGTATAAATGTTCTCTTTATTTCTCTCCATACCTGCCTATCTCTTCCTCGCTTTTCTCTCTGAATCTGTTAAACTGCTTGTGTTCGCTGGTCTATCCCTCGTTCTCATTGTTCGCCATTAATGTTGATGGTCTAACTTAAGTGTCACATGATCAAATTATGGCGGAGTTATTTAAATTTCTATATTTTTTGTGTAGTTTTGATGTCTTTGAAACGCGATTGATTTAAATTGTGTCATTTACAGAAAAAAGTCTTATCTTTATATAAAGTATGGAAACAAATAGAAAGATCTTTTTAATTTTGGTTATCGGAACTTATCAAAAATATGCCATATATAGCTGAAAACAATGTATTATAATATACTGAGTTGTAAAAATTCACCTCTCTAATACTCTCTTTTTTTAAACAGATATACAGTGTTTTCGCCAGAAGAATTAGAAATTATTTTGTGTGATCTCGGGAAAACTTGCCATGTTGATGCATCAGTCGCATAATTTTAAACATAATCATTCATCACCACCATGGAGAAGCTGGATGTTTATGAAACACGGACGCTTACAATCTTCATGCTATTTATTTACAGCAGTTTGACTGCAACATTATCTGTCCATTATACTCTGCCACAGTCATGGAAGACATGAGTGTTTGATAAATTTTGTTGTTCTTATAAATTCATTTCCAAATATTTATTTATTTATTTTGATATCTTAAACTTAAGGTGCCTATTTATGTATTTTCATATTGTAAACACTTTACTATTTTCATAGCTAGGAATAATGTTTAATCATGGGACAATTCAGTTCTACTCTTGTAGTTACATATACAAGGTGCTAATAAATGATATTTTGGAGAAATTTCAATTTCGCTTTGTTGAGGAGTACTTATAACACAGTTGACACATAATAACATTCTTTTAATGCTTTAATTGTACAAATATTGCATTTCTTTGACAAGGAAAGAAAAAAATATATAAAATTCTTACAACACATCACAATGCCGGATAGACTCATCATTTTTCCGGCATGTCGTATAACTTGGATTTTTTTTTTTACATTAAATCGTTCACTTTCGTATACTAGTGTTCAAAATTCAACATAAATCTGCAAAGCTTTAACTTAAAATTTATTTTAAAACAATTTTCATCTGATGAAACTCTGAACTGTTTTTTTTTTTTTTTGTCTGAAAGATTATGTACATGTAGTATTTACGGCGATTTGTCAAATCTCCTGCGTACTATAGTACCTAATCTCAGAATCTGACGTAATGCTAAAAGAAATACCTTAGTCAACATACTTGTAATGTAATATTCTGCAAAAGTTATTTTTTGTAAATTTACTTACAATTTAAAAAAAATGAAGAAAAAATTTTCCTGGTCCCATCTCCTAATTTGTTCTGTACATTATATATATAATAAAAAGCAAACTTTTATTAAGCGCTCTTTCAAAAAGTAATTATTCTTGACTTAATATATTTATAGAAGGGTGGAATTAAAGCTGTAGCCATCCTAAAATAGTTATCCTCGGAAGACGCTAAAATGGATTTTGTATCGCAGATATAGAAAACTAAACTGCTCCATTTGTCTCTAGATGGTTATCATTAATTAGGTATTGTGTTTGTATGTTCTGAACTTTTACAATATCTTTTACAGCGGAGAGATAGAGCGACGAGTCAAATTACTAGTGCTTACTAGAAAACACTCAAATCCATGAAATCTACGTCAAAATGAATTCACTTTTTTCTTCATTAATATCATTTTCCATTTGCAAAATATATGATAAAGTGCAGGTACATACACACAACAGGATACAAATGAGTTGCTTAATGGAAAAAATATCTCAGTCGAGTGGAAAACCTTTTAAAAGGTTGGAATATTGCGACTGTCTTTTAAACAAAAACCCAGTTTATCAACGACACTGCCATCCATCATTTCGGATCAGATTGACAGGAATCATTGTTTCTATGAAGTGTAAAATGTCACATCTATACAGAAAATTTCCTTCAGAAACAGCAAGTAAAGAGACATGTAAGGAAGAGTTTTGGTGAAATTACAAATTTCAGTCTAGATCATCTGAGCAAGTGAGATTTTTTTTTATCGAATCCTGCTCGTCTGTCTATCGTCTGTTTACCTTCGACATTATGATTGTTTGTTGTTTAAAATGTCCATCTCGAGAATTTTCCCCCATATGAAGACGCCACCACTTTCCGGTGGAGGGCTGCAAATTTAAACCTATACTTCGCACTCAGGGCCACGGAGCAGTGAGGAATCTTTTTCAAAAGACAAAGATGTGTCAGACTCTGTGGTGTCTTTTATTCCGAGTTCTAAATTTTGAATTGAAAACCTCTTCTTTTCATGCAATAGTTATTGAATAAAGGAGATGGGCGAACATAGCTTGCAGAAAGCCTATAGCTTCAGATATATAAAAATTATGTTCACTTTGTGAATTCAGTATTTAGAGTAAAGTTCTCAATATTGAAATTTATGAAATTTTGATAAACAAAACTTTTCTGAGAAAAATTTTCTCGGCAAAATTTATTCTTTTATTTAAAAGAAATATAATGTGGTATTCGTTGGGTTCGAACAGTACGTAGCAATAAAAATCCTGAGTATCATTTTCTTTCGAGACTAGCACGCTAACCACTAGACTACACAAGTCCTGATGAATAGTGGCATTTAGATTCTGTTTGTGATATGACCTTTGACTTAATGGACTTCAGGTATTTTCGAAAAAATGCGAATGATATGTCATAAAGGTATATTTTTATGTGGGTCTTTGCTCCATATTTTTGGAAACCAAAAAAATTAATTTTTTATGCAAACTTCGAGGATTAACTTTCAAATCAAGCTAATTCAGAGAATATGTGTCCCCTAGGGGAAAAAAGAAGAGCATGCGCAGTTCGGGGGGGGGGGGGGGGTCGGACAACCTGTATTATACGTAATAACTCTCCGCATGCCCCTGTGCTAAAAATAGTGTCAAGCGACTTTTAATACAATAAATAATAATAAAAACGGGGCGGGACACTTTGAGAGGGGCGAGAGGGGCCCTAGGGAGTTGCGGTATATAATTTCATTGCAAAAGCTCAAAAGCTTCTTGAGATATCGCCCGCGGAAACGAAAGTGTCACACACAGACGGAATGTATGAATTTACGACCTCGAACTTTGACCTTTTGACCTCAAAATCAATAGGGGTCTTCCTTAGGCCACAGGGAGTTGTTATGTAAAATTTCATTGCAAAAGCTCAAAGGATTCTTGAGATATCGCGCGGAAACGAACGTGTTAAAACAGAATTTATGACCTTGACCTTTGGACCTCAAAATCAATAAGGTTCTTCTTTAGGTCATAGGGAGTTGCTATGCAAAATTTTATTGCGAAAGCTCAAATGGTTCTCGAGATATCGCGCGGAAACGAAAGTGTTACAGACAGACAGAAATACAGACGGACGGACAGACAGACCCAAATTAATATCCCCCACTTTCAGTGAAAGCGGGGGACAAAAATAAGTCTGCTAATCGGGGTGCAATTAGCACTCATGGGAATTCCAACAGATTGTTGGAAGACCTGGTTCACAAAAAACACATAGATATTGTCAATCAGAAACTCAAGTATCTTTTAAATATCAACTTTAGAGTACTTGTGTGTAGAATCAGAATGTTTTTTAACAAAATATTTTTGCAGATGACCAATGACAAGGTATGTAAATTTACGAGTTCCATCTTTATTGAAAAAGCAGTTGTCTATGTCAAAAAGCCTGGTAAGTAATTTTTGACTTATTCTAGTACGGTAAGTAATTCTGGACAAACTGCATCTGTAAAAGAACATTTGAAATTGTAAATATTTACAGCTGATTCATTTTAGCTTTTACTGGATTCAGCCATTCCTTGGTATTAAAACGAGGGTCTATAGAATGAGTGTTGCCTTCAGTGTTTTTTTTTTTTTTTTTTTTTTTTTTTTTTTATTTTTTTTTTTTATTATTTTTTTTTTTTTTTGGACAGCTTCAAAACAACATTCAACAAAATTTGCCTTCAGTTTTTTTTTTTTTTTGACAGCTTCTAAACAATATTCAACAAAATTTGCCATCGCAGTAAATCCTGGCACGTAAAAGAACCCTCACTGCGCAAAGGCCATAAGTGCCGAGTACAGGTCTAAAATTGCAGCACTCCACCGGCAAGTGGTGGCATCTCAAGATCGCGTGAAAAATTCTCGAAGGGAATTAACTAGTACTCTTTTCACTATTTATATAGCAGATCCTTCTCGAGTTATCTTCCTCCGAAAATGCTTACATAAACACTTCCGATTTTGCACTCCTCTTATATCCTGTTTGTAAAAATTTATATACATATACTCTCACTGAAAGGTAATGGTTCATTCCTTTTAATTTGTGAATTAAGTTATTATACATGAAATTTAAATATATTTACAAAATATTTTGTGCAATTATACTTCTTTAACGTTCGAGGAAGTAAAATTCAACACAGTTGACGAATTCTTCGACAAAACAAATGTAAGTAACAAGACTGTGCATTCAAAATTATCTTTATGGCTAAAATGTCATGTAATTATGCCAAAAAAATAGCTGAAAGATATTAAAAATCATTGTGAACGTAAAAATAGAAAATGTGTGTATCGGGAGATAAAGTAAAAAAGTATAACTAATATATAAATTATGTAATTTTACTTCGAATGTCGATTTCATTATTAGCTTTTTATGTTCCTGGCTTACTCGGAATGTGATTAGTTTGTATTCGTGTCTGTTACCAATATCAAATAGAAATCACATATTTAACTTGAATATTCCGTTTTTCTCAAAAAACAAAGGTCAAAGGTAAAGAATACTTCAAATAAACTCTGGACAAGGTTTTTCCACAAAATCTGCTTGATTTTTGATTTAGAAATTGATTCCTTGAGACGATATATTTCACTAAAGCCCCGAGCATGGGGTATGGTAGTATAACAAAATGTTAACTATTGAACAAATCAATGTGTGGAAAGTTAACATACTGAACAAAAAGATGAAATATAACATTTCTCAAAGGTTTTTGTGGTTTATTTCGCACTGCAGCCGTCTTTGTATCGTTCTTTTGAAAGCACTAGTAGTGGCAGAAACGTAGTTGTTCATTTTAGTTTTCCTATAACTTCTTTAATAATTGCTGTTTCAATTAATTAAGGATACCATATTTCATTTTACAATCCTTTTACTCAACTCTCGCAATGAATCGCTTTTCCTGCAATTCTTGAAGATTCCCTCTTGACTATGAGTGACTTTTTTCCCCTTTCCTAGACAAAGTACCTGTAACTTGTATTTTCTGTACACAGTATTTCTCATCTGTTCGACTGCTTTCCATGTTAAAAACTGGAATTTTTCAGAGTATCTATCTGAAAGCTAGCTTCAAGAGAGATCCGTCCCACTGCAAAATTACAAATTTCAAACCGTAAATGTTAAAGAATTTTTCTTCCAATAGTAACAATTTTCCATTTTTCAAGATAAGCAATACTACATTATCCCACCTTTTTGCCTCGTTTCTATCCGCAGCTGTGTCCCTTTTCGAAGCTACATTTATAAAACCGAGACGAGTATGGCGAATAAACAAAGTACTCAGAAAAATACTCACCTTTAATAGGACAATTTCAAAAAAATCAACGAAAAATATCAAAGAAAGCTCGATTAATTCTATTCGATAATACCTATGGAAGAATCATCAACGTAGCTATATTGTACCATTTATTGATAACATCCCGTTTTAAACATCAACTTTGAAAACTTAATATAATATTTTTTTTAAGGACATACGCAACGTAGGTTGAACTTTATTGTCTTTTTCCCTGGAGTTGAAGAGTTCCAATACTTGAAGGAACTGTGTGCTACATTTTAATGTCTATATATGCTGTTGTACACTTCTTCTAAAACAAGTTTGGATAAACAAAACATCTAGAATATATTTTTAGTAATTTTTGTATATTTTTCTTTGAATTATACAAGAATTTTCATCAATTGATATCTTTTCAAAACCCCTGGTTATACATGCTGATTTTTTGTCTACGAACATCTGATGGCACTATAATCTTAAATTAAGAATACCTTGAAAAACTATCAGTAGGTAAGGTACGTTGCGTATGTCCTTAAAGGCATGTACCTTGACATGAGATAACAAATACATCTCAGGGTTATTTTGTCATACTTTAGTTAGATAATGTTAATTATTAGAATTAGAAGAATGTAACCTTAATTTGTGCGAAAAACCATGTGAGCTTAAAAGTATGTGTCCCTTTTCGGCGTTACATTTATAAAACCGAGACGAGTATGGTAAATGAGCAAAATACTTAGAAAAATACCCACCTTTAATCTGAAATTATATATAGATTTCAAATTATATTTATTTGAAATCTTTATTTGAAATCTATATATTAGATTTCCCATTATAAAATGTTTTATATATATATATATATATATATATATATATATATATATATATATATATATATATATATATATATATATATATATACTTTTCTCCAGATTTACTTTTGCCATATTGCCATAAGTTTCGAAATTTCACCTCATGCGTTTGAAGCTTGATGCAGCTTTCAGAAACATTACTCTTGGCCTAACTTTTTATTAATGCAAAAATTAAAATCTTTTTTTTTTGTATGATGGACAGACAAGACAGGACAGGCAGGCAAGGCAATATGCCACAAATAATTGCATCCCAACCAAAAATATCCCCAAAGCGGGGGACCACAGTTCTCCGAATTTGCTTGTTAAATATGCTTAAAAGTCTCTTCGTAATCTGGCCCTTTAGACTTAATAACTCTCATTTTCGATTTGATTTTCTATTCTTTAATACATTTCAAGGTGTCATTAAATTTTGCTATAGATATATGCATAACGTTCAGTGGATGGTATTAATATTCTAAACAAACTTCTGACATTATTTCTTTTCAGATCTTGCTAATTCTTTAATATAAACGTTTTAGTACAAACAAGCAAATTCAGAGAATTGTGGTCCCCGCTTTCGGTGTCTAAGTGGTTGGGATACAATTATTTACGACATCATGTAACTGTCTTGTCTGTTTGTCCTGTTTTGTCCGTCCATCATAAAAAAAATTAAAATTTTTTAATAAAAGTTACGGCAAAAATTAAAGTTTCTTAAAACAAGTCAAAAATGATATTTTTTTTTCCTGAAAGGTGATGTCAAAGGTAAATGGCATATAAAATATAAAAGCTCTGCCTTCTCACATTCAAAAGTTATTACCAATGTTAAAATTCTGAAAAGTACTGTTGGTTAAACTTTAAGGTTAAATCCTCGAGATCAAATCTACAGTACATTCGGAAAGGTCTTATAACAGATAATGCACATGCCAAATAAGAATGCCCTATCTTCTGTCATTCAAAAAAGTTATCACCAATTTTAACATTCTTTTGAAAAGTAATTCAGACTTCAAGGTCAATGTCACGGGGTCAAAAATCATAGTACGTTTAGCAAGGTCTGGTTACATGTAATGCACATGTCAAATATAAATGTCACATGTCAAATACGAATACCCCATCTTCTCTCACTCAAAAATTATTACCAATGCTAAAATTTTTGACGAGTAAATCAACTTCAAGGCCAAAGTATTGAGGTCAAAAATCATAGTACATTTGGTAAGGCCATGTCACAGGTAATGCACAATATGAACATCCCATCTTCTCTCATTTAAAAGTTGTCATAAATGTAAAAAAAAAAAAAAAAAATTAAAAGTAGGTATTATTTTAAGACCAAGGCCACTTGGTAAAATTCATAGTGCATTCGGAAAGGTTTTTTCACAGGTAATGTACATGTCAAATATGAATGCCTATCTTTTCTCATTCAAAAGTTATCACCATTGTTAATTTTCGGTCAAACTGCAGCCAGGATAAAAAAAATTATAGTGCCTTTATAAAGGTTTTGTCACAGCAAATGCACATGTGAAATACGAAAACCCTATCTTTTTACATTCAAAAGTTATAACCAAGGTTAATGTTTTTTTGGAAGACAGACTGACAGCCAAATGAGATTTAATGTTCCCTCGCTTTTGCGAAAGCGGTGGACAAAAATACACATAACCATCTAATAAGGCAAGTACACATGTTCGAAATTGAGTAGGTACATGAAAATCAAGTGTAGGGCCTAATCACTTCCCCTCAAATACAGTATCGTGTCCTCAACGAAATAAGTATACACCTTCAACGTCTGCCTAATACCTACACGGTTTCTCTATGAAGATAATTACATGGTTTTCTCTTATCTTATAATAATGATTATCAACTCTTATACTGATGACATTGCTCTTGCCCTTTACCTTATCAATATCTATTAGATAAACAAAGAAAATGAACATCTTTGGAAGCGCAGTGTTTCTCAGCTTGGTTTCTGTGAACATGTGTTTCCTGACAGAACCTTCTTCAGGACAACGAAAGCAATATGCCATGTACGTTTGGCGGGATGGATTTGATCCTAACATCCCCGGATGTGGGCAGTCTGATTTTTTAACGTGGGATAGCAAGCACAGTCATTGCTTCACTCATACCTGGAATACTGCGACAAAACGACAGTGGTTATGGGCAACATGTAATCTTCCTGGTCGTGAAGTCTCAAGCATATTTCTGGCAGACGTATATCACAAATTAAAGACGGGTTTCCTTGCCAACAGCTGTGATAGAAGCGATATTAATTTATTAAGAACAACCTTGTTAGAGGGTCATAATCACGTGTCCAACTTGAAGATTTACGCATTATTTGCCGCCAGTGATGCTGATGTGTCAGAACGTTATATGATTCCATATGTTGTCTGGTATAACGAACATTGCACACGTAAGCATATATTACCTGCATATTTAAGAAAGGGTATCCATTAAATGCATGTCAAATTTTAAAATATTGAAATAATGAATAATGAAAAATCAAAATCTTAGCTTGTTAGAGCATAGGAACATGTGTCAACATGACAACATTTGGCAGTTCTAAGAAGTAACCCATTTTTAAGTATTTAACAAAATTACCAATACGGTTAGAATTGCTTAGGTGTATAGGTATACATGTAAAAGTAACTTAAAAAATTTTACGCAAATTACAGATCACAAATAAAACAATTTATTTCATGTGTGTCTCTATACAATATGTATGTCAGATGATTAATTAAACGAAATTAATGTATAATATAGGTACAAACTTGGAAAAGTTTGATGGCGTTGCCGTCAACAACGAAGCATACGCCTCCATCAAATGTTCCCTTGACGTAAATCAGAGAAGGACATTCCTGGACCACCTCCAGGAAATTCACGACGAGGCACAGAAGCAACAAGACGGGAAATTATTGACTCATTTCTCAGTTAGCTGGCACTGGGGACGTTGTGGGGGACAAAGTCAACCTTTCCTTTGGCGGGGGAAAATAACGGACGCTTCACATCACATGATTGATATATTCGACAGTATCGATGTTCAGGTAAATACAAAAAATTATTATCCATTTTAGATTTTTTTTTATAAATCTGTTCCATCTTTTTTTTTTTCTTTTTTTTTTAAATATTATTAACACACACATTTTGATTTAATTAACGATTCTTTTTTCTTTAATTAAACAATATGTCTGCCGGAATTAAAACTTTCAATTTATTATCCATTTTAGATTTTTTAAATCTGTTCCATCTTTTTTTTTAATATAATTAACACAGTTTGAAAAAAATATACTTTTTTTTAAATTCAATCCGTTTTAAATTCGCCATCCTGTGAGTAGGGCGAAAATTAAATGGGGGGGGGGGCGAAAATTTCCCTGTATACAGTATTGGACCTAAAGAAAGTAAATTGCTGCCAAAAGCCAAAGGCTGAAAATTAAATATAAATCCAACAAATTAAATGTTTCCCGAATCTCACAAAGTCACTTACTGCTTTGCTACAGTTGCAGACGTGCACGTGTTAGCTTTATCTTTATAAACGAAAGGACAACTCCTGCCCATTCTCCTCGGGTACTATCGGAACACCTTCACTTTATCAACGATCTCCTATTAATTGTGACAAAAGCGTCATATCAAATTTATTAACCATATAGTCAGCATCCAATAAATTGGATTTTTTAATTTGTAGGGTATCACAAAACTTTAAATTTCAGGTATTTTATAACTTGAAAGCAACGTTCTCAAAATATATGTATTATTGCCTTCAGGTTGGATACACAATATTCCCACAAATCAGAGATAGAATGGAACTGGCTGGTCGGAATTATTCATCTATCCTTCACAAAAACATTTATGTGACATTTTATACCGATAAGGTAAATTTAATCAACATGCTGAAAAATCATACTCTTAGTATATTCTCATAGTTCAGTTATGTGTTAAATCCTACAATCAAATTTTGCATTTACAGACAGAGCCTTGCCAGATCACCTTCTTTCCTCAAACTTGTCACTTAAATGGGAGATCAGAATCAAATCTTTTCAGCATAATTGATCAATTTCCTCAAAATGGACTTGGACAAGAACAACCCTGCATCCATTACTTTAGGGGTGTATATTCCAGTGGGGGCCATAAAGACTGGCCTGCCCATTTATAAGGATCGGTATTTAAAAAACTTGATACTTAAGAACTTTATGAAAAATTACAGATGTACCAATGAAATCTGATCGCGCATCAGCTCAATTTATTCGTCATCAAAATGCTAAAATTTGTAGCAGTGATGTACAGGTGTGTCATTCTGTGACCCCCCGGCAAGGAATAAGTAAAAAGTTATGCACAAACACATGAACAGGCTTAAATTGTAAATATGCAAGTACAGTTTGCATGATAATAATGTTCTTAAATGCTTATTCTAAATTAAAATAATTAATTGTCTTCGTATATTTCTTGATCAATGATTGTACAATGTAGTAAGAGTTACTTCTCTTTGTATTTATTGCGAGTAGATCTTTTTCATTTGTACTCTATATAATTTCCCATCTGTATTGTATGATTTTCATTTGTATTTTGTTTTGAATGTTATTTGTATTGTATAAATTCTTTGTATTCTTTAATTTCCTATTTGTATTTCATTTTTAATGTATTTTATTCAAAATTGGTATAATGTTTGTTTTTATTTGTATTCTATAATTTTTCATTTGTGATCTATATTGTTTAAATTTGTACTCTATAATATTCCATTCGTATTGCATATTTTCTATTTGTATTATATGATACAATAGCATTCTATAATGTTTCAATTTGTATTTTTTTTAGGGGGGGGGGGGATTCGAAAAAAAAAAAATAAATACATTTCATAATCCAATACAAATGGAATTCACCTACGATACAAATTGAAACATTATAGATTGCGAATAATGTATAATAAAATACACACGTAAATTATACAATATAAATGACGAAATATAGAATAGAAATTATAGAATACAAACAGGAAAATATGTATAGAAATGGAAAACGTACAAAATAACATAGGTACTTTTTTTAACCCATTGTATAACAATATCTAACTCTGAATTACATGGTGTACCCCCTCCCCAGAATCTTATTTATACATTCAGAAAAAAATGCACTCTTTTATTACCATATTCTTCTACGATAAATTACCTACGCAACCATATATGGTATACTTGTCTTTATTTTCTTTAATTTCTGTAAGTAGCACCAAAATTTTAACTCTGCTAACCGACTGAAAAAATTCGTCTCACACCATGTAGTGCATTGTACTTATCTCGGGCAGAGAGCAAAATTTAAACATTAGTAGGTTTAAAAATTCAATTCCAGTGTTTAAATATTGTAGTGAATAAATAAAATTTGTTTTCCGTTTTATTTTCCTTAAAGCATTAAGATAGTTTTCCGATGTAAATTTAGAAAGAGAGTTTTCGCCAATAAAAATCAAAGAACATATTCTGCCAGAGATAAGAACAGTTTCTAAGTTAGCGTTATTATTTTATTTGAGTTTCGTTCTTTTACGGGCATTTTGTGTTTGCACTGATCTTTGCAATTTATTCTACTTTTTCTCCTGACTTTATAGTTGCATACATTTCATAATTTTTTCGCGACCGAGTAACAATGGCGATGTAAAATGTACGTCTATACAGATGAGATCCTTTGAACCATGAAGAAATCAGAGACTTATGAGGTCTGAAGAAGTAGCGACAAGATAAATATGGCGGACGAGAATAAATATCTTATTTTACAAGTCGTGTTCTCAACTTAAACGAACATATCAATTTTAATACATACTCTGAAATTTTCTACAGTATACTAGTATGTCATATACACTTTACATATTTTATAACTTCAACTTCAGTCATATCTTATGAATAACTTAAATGCTATACATGGCGTCCCTTTTGATCAAGCACGAGATAAATTCACTTTTAAAAGTGTGTGATCACATTTCTACACGTCTTGAGTAACGTTCTGAATTTTCCCTGTGTATTGACAGTTTGAATTGTTCAAGGGGAGTTGTCGATGTTTAAAGGTCGCCAAGGAAAAAGTCAAATGGGTTTTAATCATGGGAGTATCTCAAAATTCAATTGAAGAACTTCTGCAACTCTCTGATTTGAAACAACCACATTTTAAGTAAAAGCTTTATTATATATGATGTAATAATTTCATTTTGCTTGTAACGCGTCCTTTGATTGGATAAAAATTTAGTTTATATCGTATAACCTGTGTTGACTACGTCACAATGACTTACGCCAAAAACGTACCAATCCGCTTGACATTCCATTTAAAATATGTACAATTTGAAGGCATTTTTGAAGAAAAAATTGTCTTATTTTGAACTTTTAATGATGGAAAATAAAATCATAAGGAATGAATTTAATAGCTACCAAAATTATACTTGTAATATATATATATATATATATATATATATATATATATATATATATATATATATATATATATATATATATATATATATATATATATATATCCATTTCTATTTGTTTTCTGTGATAACTCTTTGAAAGTTAGTTTGGTTGATTTCTTGATCATTCTACCGGAATGCAAATTTCGCCAAGCGAAAGGTCAGGAGCTAAGAAGGCCTAATATGCATGTAATTCTCGTGCAGTGTCTTTGTGTCTGACGCTAAGGAGGCCTAATATGCATGTAATTCTCGTGCGGCTTTCTTTGTGTTTTACGTCAGTGGGCCGGGACTATTGAAATTGACATGTGAGGCCTCGTGTAATTTAAATCTATTAGTCTACATTTTTAATATCTAAATTTACAATTTTATTTCACAATGAAATGGAAATATAAGGAATCAGTGTCTAGTTAGTAGAGTATGCCAGGGACATCAACGATAGTTGGAAACGTGGGATAATTTATGCATAACGGGCTTCGCCCGTTATGCAAATTATCCCACGTTTCCAACTATCGTTGATGCCCTGGCATACTCTACTAACTAGACACTGATTCCTTATATATATATATATATATATATATATATATATATATATATATATATATATATATATATATATATATCAGCATTTATGCAAACTTACTTAATTTTTTTAATACTTGGATGAAAGACATCCCGTTTAATTTTGACATTAAAACTGAGGTTAAGACAGGATACATATGGAGCTTTTAAATTGTATTATCCAAAGACGAAGGAAATTCTCTTCTGAAGCGATAACCCTATAACCACTACACGGCTATTGTACTCAATTAAAGAAAATCTTGTTAAGATTACTCTGAAAAAAGTAGACAAATTCCGATTAAAGAACCAAAACAAACAACGTAAAACGGACGTTCTTTGTCGCTGGCAAGGTCCTCTATACTGGCAGATGCGTGGTCGTGTGTCAAGCGTACGTCCAATTTACTACACAATTTTTCATTTTCAATTGTTCCAATGTTCTTGGAATCAGACTTCATCTTCATATTGGAAATAAGATCCTGTTGATAGATATCAATTATGTTAACTAATATTTGGCCCCTATTAAGTATCCTGTGAGCAGACGATGCGGCCAAGTCAAAATCTCGTTCTGCACGTGCGTTGACGAGACGAGCACGCGACTTCTTGGAGTCATTATTCGTGTGCCTCTTTACGCAGGTATGGAAACAAATAAAAATCTAGGACTCATTAATAAAGTTTGGGATTGAATCAAGTTTTACTTTGTTGTCGACAAAGATAGCATCGTAAAGAACCGAGCTTTAAAATCGCAAAATGAAGATTCTACTCCGTACAGTTCCATGGAGGCACGTGACCAGCATCATGCCAGTATGGATGCTACCTCAACCCACAATTAAGAGTTCTATTTCTAAGCTGAATGTTATTCAGACTCGTGTCAAAAACTTACATCAAACAAATTTCAATGTGCACCTGGATAAAAAAAGAAGTCGCATAATAATAACTCCATGTTGAAAAAAAAAGATTTGTATGCGATTTATTTCATCAAGTCTCAAGTCCCCATGTCTTGCATTTTTTTTTTTTCAAATCAAACCAATATATTTAAAACATCCTAATTTATTTATCTTAAGTCTGTGTTTATCTGTAAGAAATAAATATAAGTACCAATAATAAATACTACTTCAGAAAATCATTATCATACCCCATATCAACCCTAGACTCCATAAATTACTAATAAAAATAAGTTAAGACAATAGAATGTTCAACATAGATTAGACCTTTTAATGTTAATGAAATTAATACATTCAATAAAGTTGCAGCAGGCTTGGCAAGAAAAACATCTTTTACTGATCGATGGCAATGAGTGCCGAATAAAGGTCTTAAATTTGAAGTCCTTAAACAATATATAGTGACGTCTCTTATGAGTGAAATAATCTTGCAGACGTAAAACTACAAACAAAAACAAAGCTGAATCACACTCCACTATTACTTTATTGTAGTCGCCCGCGTGGTGCAGTGGTAAGAACATTCTGCTCTAGAGTCGCGAAGTAAGGAGTTGATCCCTACGTCGCGGGTTCGAATCCCACTGTGGGACGTGGAGACCGGTCCTTCGGATGAGACCGTATAAACCGAGGTCCCGTGTCGCAGTAGGTGCTGGCACGAAAAAGATCCCTCACTGCTCAATGGCCGTAAGTGCCGAGTATAGGACAAAAAATTTGCAGCTCTCCGCCGGCAAGTGGTGGCGTCTCCATATGAGTGAAAAATTCTCGAGAGGGACGTTAAATAACATACAAACAAACAAACTTTATTGTAATATAATCCATTTTATTAGGGGAAAATCGGAAATCATCTAAATATGCAGACCATCGTAGTATTGTAAAGATGTATTTCAAAAGCTTTCGTTTTAATGATGAATGAAATTTTTTTTAGACTTAATCAAGTAAAGTTTTTATAAACACGGGCATAAAAATTTTATACCCCTTCTAGAAAAAAATCTAGCAGAGAGAATATGACAACAGATTGTATACAAGGTATTATTCATAGACAATTGTGAATAGGGGCTTAAATTAACTTCATTACGGACGACGGACAAAAATAATAGGATATATAGTAGTGGGTCATCTATGTGTCCAAATGTGTACTTTTTCATGAATATGTCATGTCTTCAACAGCTAATTTCTTGTGATAATTAATCAATTTTATTGCTTTTATTTTGTATCATCTTTAGGAATAATGTTATCGAGTCATTCCCAGCACCCACGTGCCCAACACGCGATCACCAGCTGTAGCATGATATGTTGTTTGTATTCTGAGCAAAAGACGTTATGGAAACTAATCATTTTAAAAATCTTAACAACTCCATATAGATTGTATTCAGAAATGTTGCTCTCAGGATTTTTACACGTTTCAGCATTTTCCTTTATCATGTTCTTTGGGAAGGGGAAGGGGGTCGTCTTGTTGCATATACATGTATATGACATTCATATAGTCTTTTAACTGCAATTTTAACCTCACAGCAGAGGGCGCCCAAATCAAGCTTCATTTACACCTTTGTTATCGTCCAAATCACAAAAGAATCTTGCAAAAAGAGTAAAATTTAACTTTAAATTGCATTGCCTTCATCTTTAAATATGTACTACGAGATCAATGTATTGTACATGTATATGGAACTATTTTACTTAATTT